CGTCCTCAGGTTACAGGTAGAGGAACGGCCTACAGATATGTAGGTTAGCCTCGAAAAAAGCGGTCCATTAATTTGAACTAACGAATAACCTGTCGCGGATAGCGTGCTACTTGTTCGCTCGTTAACCCTGCAGATATGCAGAGTAGCCGTGATATAAGCTGTAGTATGCATGCACTGATAATGCTATCATTGTGCGACCTGGTTGACATGATATATACATGACCCACCATATATATTATTATATAGGACTGTAACAAGCACATTATGTTATTATAAATAAAATAAACTAAATTAAAGTAAAAGTAATCTAGTGTTCTTTATTAAATAAAAAATAAAAGAGATCCACAAACACAACATAAGCCACTCCTAGAATGGACGAAGAAACGGTAGCGATCGAGGGTAATTTCATAACGGGCGGGTGGGCCCGATTCTGTCAGCTGAGGATCCTTGGGGACAAGGGTCCGAAGTGTTCTCCCTAGCTCGGGGAATCGGGTGCGTCCTCAGGTTGTGGATAAAGAACGGCCTGCAGATATACAAGTTAGCCGCGAAATAAGCAGTCCATTCATTTGGACTGACGAATAAGCGGTCGCGGACAGTGAGCCGCCCAGACGCTTGTTAATCCTGTAGATATATAGGATAGCCGTGAAATAAGCCTATATGGACGAATAAGCGGTAGCGTTTGGGTGAGAACGGAGAATTATGGCAACGCAACCAGTGAAGTTAGCCGCTCACTGGCCGGAGGGACTGGCTATGAGGGCAGCCCCCTCAAAATATATTTATTTATGAAAATGGTACAGCGCGGAGAGAAGGTTACTGCATCAGGGGACTTGGATACCCCAGTATCAGCAGTTGGTGGGAGGCGTACCCACCAGGTGTCGTCATTAATCGAATACGCACTAAATGCAGGAGTGTTGAGGCAGGCTTCTGCAGCCAACCACGAGGTTGGTACTGCAGGGAGTGGTGGTAACCAAGCCACTCCCACCGGTGAAATAGACGGGAGGGTATTGGCAATTGAATGCTTGGAGACTAGACTGAATTTGAATTTGGAAGCTGCCACCCTCCCACATGCGTCAGTAAAACCCTCCATATTGGAGAGATTGCGGAGCGTATCTAAGGGTGGTTCGGCTAGAGTGGGTCCTTCGGGTCCAACTATGGACCCGACGTGTGCGTCATCTCGGAACCGTTTGCCGGGCTGATCAAGGACGCCCCGGGGTGGTACTTGGACCGGTCCGGGAGAGCGGCGATCGGAGTGATGAGCAGCGGCCTCACGGTCGCTGACATCGAGGTTGGCGACGGCTTCGTAGCGGCGAGGATTGGCGGCATTGACGTCATGAGCTGCTACGCGTCGCCAAACCAGCCGATCGCCCCTCTCCTAGAGGGTGTCGCCCACAGCCTGAGGGGCAGACGTTCCTCGGGTCTGCGGGGTGGCAGGGACGGGCGGATGATCCGGTCGTACTTTAGCGATCGGGTCATCTCTTACGAGAGCGCCGCGGGCCCGAGAATCCGACCTGTTACGGGAGGCGTCCCGCAAGAGTCAGTTCTCGGGCCTCTGTTGTGGAACATCGCGTACGACGCGGTGTTTCGCGTTCCGCTACCACCGCACGTGCGTGTCGTCTGCTACGCGGACGACACGCTGGTGGTGGCGGAAGGCGTCTCGGCCGAGGAGGCTGGATCCCGGGCAAACTGCGCGCTCAGCGCAGTCTCCGCCTGGATCCAGCAGGAGGGGAGTGGACTTAGCCTCGCCCTGGACAAGACCGAAGCGGTCTTGTTCACGGGCAGGTACAAGTTCACTCCTCCACGACTCGCCGTGCTGGGGGTGGAGATCCCGCTTAAGGACTCCATGACTTATCTGGGCCTCGTCATAGACAAACGTCTAAAGTTCGGGCCGCACATTACTCGTGCGGCCCAACGGGCCCAGAAAGTCATGAATTGCCTGGCGGGAATCATGCCCAATCTGGGAGGGCCGAGAGAGATGCGGCGCAGACTTTTAGTCAGCGTCGTACACTCGGTCCTCCTGTACGGGTCCCCGGTTTGGGCGGATACTCTTGAGTATTCGTCAAAAAACCGGGAAGCCCTGCTCAGGGTGCAGAGGCGGGCGGCGATCCGGACTGTTTCGGCGTACCGAACGGTGTCCGGAGTGGCGGCGGGTATCCTGTCGTCACTGCCGCCCGCCGACCTGCTCGCCGAGGAACGCGCCGCCGGGCATGAGCTCCGCCGAGAGCGAAACCGGTCCCTCGAACCCGAGGACCGCCTAGCGCTCAGGCGGATGACCATGCTCCGGTGGCGGACTCGCCTCTCGGAGGAAACGACGAGAGGCGAGTGGACCAGGTCCCTCATAGGACCCGATCGACTGGACAGGTGGGTGGACCGGACTCACGGTGAGATGACTTATCGTCTCACCCAAGTGATGTCCGGCCACGGCTGCTTTAACGAGTACTTACACCGTATTCGTAAAGCAGCCGCGCCGACGTGCGACCACTGTTCGGATCGCCCGGGAGAGGCTGATAGCGCTTTGCACACCCTCTTCCGGTGCGAGGCGTGGGCCCAGAAACGGGACTCTTTGAAGTCTCGACTAGGGTCCACGTTTCGAGTCGGGTCCATGGTGGACCTGATGTTGGGAAGCCGGGAAGCGTGGAGGCTCGTCCAGGCGTTCGCCGAGTCCGTCTTGAAAAAGAAGGAGGAAGCTGAACGCCTGAGACAGAGGCAGCCGCGCCGCCCGGTACAGGAGGATCTGAGGCGCTGGTTTAGGCCGGCGCCTTAGGTATTCGTGTTTTATGTTTTTATATTTTTGTTTCGTGAGTTATTTGTGCCCCCTTCGCTTTAACGGGGGAGGCCACACCACGTTGTGAATCAGCTCTTGATTAATTTCGGGCTGATTCACAACGTGGTGGTGTGAGTTTTAAAGACGGCGTGGGCCGCCCTGAAGTAATACCTAACGGTAGTTCCAGGGCGGTCCACAATCAAGCCGATCGGAGGAAAAAAAAAAAAAAACAAAAAAGGCTGCGTCCACCCTCCGGTCCAACTCCTCCGCCGCTTCGTTCGCGGAGATGTGTCGGTCCGGTATAGCGGGCGCCGACCATTGAGCTAGTAGTAAGCCCGTCTCGAATGCGTCGACGTCCGTGGCCGGTCCGCCCCGCCAACCCACTCGCCTACCGCGAGACGGCTCGCGGGGCACGGCCGCCGTCGCCACACTCATACACGATGTACCGATGGTCGCAACCGGTCACGTGCGGGTGCAGCGACGAGGACACCAGCGTGACGTCCACTACCGAGCTCGAGGAGTGACCCTCGGACGTTGGGGTGGAGCCCCTGTTGGCTGACACCAGCCCGAGAGCCGACATCAGGTCCAACAGGTCTTCGCCACGCTGATTCGTGTCCGCCGACCCCCAGACCGGGGAGTGGGCGTTAAAATCCCCGGCCACGATCTCCCCGCGACGCCCAAGCCTCCTCGCCCGTAGGCAGGAGGAGACGGGCTCGAGGAGTTCGACGATCGGCAAGCTGGGCGGCGCTTAGCAGCTCAAGACGTCGATGCCGTCTATCTTCGCCACTATGTAACCGTCGCCCGACTCGATGTCCGCGGTCCATCACGCCGATCGCCGCTCTGCCGGACTGGTCCAAGAACCAGCCGGCAGAGTCCCGGACCGATCCGGCGTGCGGGTCCGAGACTATGCACACGTCGGTGCCCATCTCGTACGCCGCCCGCCGGAACAGGTCCTGGGCGGCCCGACAGTGGTTGAGATTCGTTTTAACATTAATTAACAATACAGAAGGATATCTATTGATAGTCATAATTAATAATACACAATCCTTGACTGTGACAGCAATGTAATAAAAAACCAATTAGCTACCTGTATTTGTAATCCCTTGTGTATTATACATGTATATGAACTCAAAAATTTGAAACTTTAAATAAATGTTTATATCTAATAAACAAATAAAGTTATACTAAAAAATTGAATTCCATTTACTATTAAATTAAAAAGTCAAACATTTTATTAAATTCAAAATATGTGTTCCCATTCAAAAAAACAAAATTGACATCCTTACTAAGTATAAGGGATGAACTTAAAAAGTATTACATAGTTAATGATTCAAGAATAATGGGTAACTAAAGATAATAATAAAAAAAAATGTTTAAATTATATTTATTCTGTAAGTAATTGAGTGGGTTATAATAAAAAAATCATCCTGTAAATATATATACATTATCTACTCAATTTGTTGGTATCTGTAATTCTACTCATAAAAGGTGAACAAAAACAATAGAGGTTATTCATAGTATTGTTTTTTATTAAATTTATTTAAAAAAGACAATTCTACATAATGAAATAATATTAATTATTGTTGTAGACAATGTTGCTTAGTATACTCCCATATTAGGAGAGAACCAGCCACGTGTACATTTAGTGATCTAACAATTCCCAATTGTTTGATTTCTAAACACATATCCATTAAAGTTAACAAATTATGAGGAATACCAGACGTTTCATTCCTGAAAAATATTTTAACAATATTATTAGTTATCATATTAACTATAGAAAAATATATTTATTTTTAAAGGAAACCTTCTATTTTATGGGTATTAGAATATGAATAGGGAGTATTGAAAGCAAAAAGTTAAAAATTTAATTAAAAATAGGCATAATACAAGACGTTTGCAAGGTTAATCAGTATATATAGTAATTAGCATATATTTTAGTTTTAAACTAATATTTAAAATTTAAAAATTGTTATATGATTAAATAAATGAAATAATGTTTGATTCAACATATTTTTCTTTAAAAAATTTTATTTATTAAAAAAAAATGAAAACTATTTAAATTTTTTAATCCAAAATATAAGTTTTATTATATTTACCCTAGAACAAGGACACTTTTAAATGGTATTTCTGTTTCATGAAGTTTTTTACTATTAACAGTTTGTTCAGCAGCAATTATTTTGTATCCATCATTTTTCATTTTTTGCAAGTATGATCTTAAATTTTTTACCCTTACCTATTCAATGAAAATCAAATTATAGTATTTGTAACATTTTATACATTAATGTTACATTATTTCATGAATAGTATCAGATCCGTACTGGTTAAGTGCTCAAGATGATTTGAGAATAAAAATAGCCGAAAAATAAAGGGTAAAATATTAATGTAAATGCTTGTCACTTTCTAAAATTATGATAAAAAGAGCAAAAGAAAAAAGTTTAACAGACTAATATCTGTCAATTAAAAACTTAGTGACATTTGATTTTACATGTTTTACATAATGGCAGCCAAATAGATTGGCACTGGCTTCTATCTGTAGCTTATTCAATATATAATATATAATAGTGTTTCTTGTTCTTTTAAAATTGACATCTGTAATGTGCATTTTATTGATTTATATTTTATTTTGACAAAATAAATGAATAACTTAATATCACTAACAGAATCATGAATTTCTTTTAGAGGAACATTCAGCTATTATTTTAAAATACCTCTACAATATTTTGATGTTTTTCAGCTGTCATGCTTAAAGCTGTAAACTCTCTTTTTTCAATACAAGTAATATTGTCAACTATCAAGGTTGAAACTCCAAAAACTTGACAAGTTCTGGCTAAGCCACCCAAATTAGTTAATTTTTCAATTAAAGAGGCAACAACTATCAAAGAAGATTTTTTTGTTTTATCATCATGAGATTTTACAGGTATATATTTTCTTTGAGCATGATGTGTATTACCAGGTATAGTTATTTCATTTGCCATACCTACAAAAATAAACTTTTACAAATTCAGTTAAAAAAACTACTGAAAAAAAATTCAGTTTATTATAATAATAATTATTATTTTAATTATTTGACATTATTAATACAATTATAAGTTATAAATAATAGTTAGGTTAATTAAATGTAAGATAATTAAATAAAAAATTAAAGAAAATGTATCTAATTAAAATTAAATTATTTTTATTTTAACTCAAAATTCTCATATTTTAAGTTTTAAAAATGTTACAAAAAACTTTAATATAAAAACAGTGTATTCTAAAATAATATTTTAATTGCTACCTAGAGTAAGGAATAAGTAAACGTAATAAGATACATTGACTGCCAAAAATTTAATTTCTAAAAGAAATTTAATAATATCTATTGGAGATAGATAAATAATGTTAGTAAGGGACCTTAACAACTAAAGTCAGAAGAACATACACAATGCATAGCAACAAAGTTCTAATTATATGGCTATACAAGTTTTCTTTTTTTTTTCTCAATTACAAGCAATAGATTTTATACAGGGCAATAAATATAAATAGCATAATAATAAAACAATCAAAATATGAAAATGTCCTTGTTGCTTCTCATATTTTGATGTTTTTAACTATTAATATTTTTATCAAAAAGTATTAAATAATAGTTTGTTATTAGTATCTTAAATAATTATATTTGTACCTGAGGTAGTATTTTTTTCAATAAATAATGAAATGGAACATGTTGAAAGATCATAACCTTCATTGAATTTAGTACGAATAGGAAAATTCTCAATCCATTCTAATGGAAATCTCTCATCATACACTACATTACACAATCTAGGTAATTCTATACATATATTCTAAATATAAAGAATACATTTTAAGATATCATTTAAAAAAAGATTATTTTAACAAATTAAGAAATAAATATAAGAATTTTACTTTTAATGATAGTGATTTTAATACATCTAGATTTTGATAGAAAAAATCTTTAAAAGGATTGTCATATTTTTTAGCTTGTTCATTTTCAAATATTACTTTTTCAATAGATTCTGACAATATTGTATATTTTCCATCACAATAAGAACATAAATTATTAACAGTCACCTTAAATATAAATGTTAATCAAATTAATAAAAAAATATAATAAAGTAATACAAAGAAAATTTTTGACTTTACAATACTAAAAATTATTCTTAGGATAAGGTAACATTACCAGTAAATGAATACTATACTAATTATTAAGTTTTAACTAAAAATGTTCAAGCGATTTGATTGTGATAAAATGAATTAAAACCAGTATTATAAACAAATATTATATATTTTTTTAATTCTACTAAAATATTATGGTTTTCAGTACATCACTATTCACAAGGAAATTTTGTCTTATATTTAAATATAAAATGTCAGTGTATGTTAATTTAATCACTTATTTAAAAAATAATTCAAGTAGTCAAAAAGGTTATAAAAATTACATAAAAGAGAGAAATACTGTAGTAAAAAAGATTCAAAAAATCACAAAAAGTAAAAAAAATGAATATAATCTTGTTTTAGCCTAAGAGCATCTTAATAAATTTCTGACTATGGTAGTTTTTAAATAATTTTCCAAGTAATATAAATTTAAGCTTACATCTATCTACTAGACATTAAAATCAGTTGTATTTTCATATACACAAAGGAAGCCAGAGATTTTTTAACATTTGCAAAATAACACTTTTACCTATGAAAAATATAGTGTTTATGTGAACAAATTTTTACAATAAAGTAAGTAATATCTTTTCTCATGTGATTACATTATAAATATTTTACATTACAATTTGAATTTCTAACTATTCATTTACTGACATTTTATAATTTTTCATATAAAAAAATGATGTAATTTCAAATATATAATAATACTTGGGCATAAAATCGAATTTTATAACCATTTGAAAAGCAAAGAGGTATGAGAAATTTAATAGCTTCATTTGTAAATATTTCATTTTTACAAACTGTATGTAAATGATAAACAACAGATATAAAACTACACAAATAATTCTGATTTCCATATGCCTAAAAAATAAAATAAAAATACTATTAAAAAAAAGTTTACTTATAATAAAATATAAAATAAAAATTACATTTTTAAAGTCATTCCACAAATTTTTTGATATGTCTATATTCATGTTATAAATTAAAACTAGCAACCATATTATTTGATATGCAATGCTATGAATATGAGATACTTCTTTCAAACTTGAGAGTAACCATTGATAAACATTATTATTCAAAATATTAATAAACTAGAAAATAAGAATGAATGTTGAATAAATAAACCTTAAATATATTTTAAAACCACTGTTCACTGAATTAATTTTTTTGGTAATTAAATTAAATTACAAATTGTTCAATAGATTAGAAATTAAACTATTTAAAAATTACTTAATATAACAAGTAATGAATTTACATTTCTGAGAAAAAAGTAACTACAAGGGAAGTAACTTTTGTCATTTATATGTTAAATATGATATTTATTTTAATTAATTCACTTATACCAATAATAATTATAATGAGACTTCACTCAAGAACATATCTAGAAATTCAAAACTGTAGAGTGAAGGGACATAACGAAAATTTTTAAGTGACAAGCTATCATAAATACTTTTTCAATCATTTTTTAACTAATTTTGTACTGATAAAAAGCAAAAAAATATCAAACATTTTTATATTAGCAAAGGGCTGACAATAAAGGATGCATTTACCATTTACTATCCCTAAATAGCCACTGATTTCATTCAAAATAATGTCACTAGATTAAATTAATTAAACTCCAAAATAAACAGTGGTAACAGACAAAAAAAAAAAAAAAAAAACACATTATAGTAAAACCAAGCATCGAAACTAAAAATAAAGAGTCAAATTAGTGTAAAATATATTCTAATAAATAAATATAACTTAATTGGATAGTATTATTTGAATCTTGACTATTATCTCTAGACTTATTTATTGGAAATTGATAGGAAAAATTGTTCCCAAGGAGGAAAGGCTTAAAAATATTTAAATTTTGATACAAATGAGAAGCAGGAAAGAAGACTTTTTTCATATTAAATTTTAGTATATAATTCTAAATAAGTCCTATAAGGATAATGCAAACTTTTAAAATAAATCGTTTTAGATAAAGTTAAGAGTAATTTTTCAAAATTTCCCTTGAACAATTAATTAAAATTAAATTACTTTTTATTTTAGTAATTAAATAATACTAAAATTACTTTATAAGTAGTTTCATTACTGTTACTTCTAATACTGTTAAAAACAAACCTCAAAATGTTCATTACACAGTGTAATAAGTAAAAACTGAGTAACTCTTTGCTTAATCTTCGAAAACTCAGAATTATGAAAATATTTTCTATTTGGAAATGATGATTCTAGTTGAAGAATTCTTTCTATAACATCTTTCCATAAATCAACATTATTAATTTTGAACAAACACACAATTGAAATAAAACGCAAACAGCGATCATCAGGTAAAAACTTAGTTCTACAAAATATTGGAACAATTATTTTTAATTAAAAAATATCATAAAATGATTTATGTTTTTACATCATTTTTACTATTAGATGTTCAAAATTACAAATATTTAAATCAATTTAAATGTGGTATATTAGAAAACAAAAGTGCTTACGAAATACTTTTGATGGTTGGTAAATCACTACATGAGCGTATATATTCAAATGTATCCCATTCAATTCTATAATAATACCAGTTTCAATTAAATCAAGTTATTATTTACTCAAAACTAATGATTGAACTTACTTAATTGCTCCATAACGTTCAATATTGTATATAACACATTTAGCTAAAAATTGGGATAGTGAAGAGGTAAAATTAGGATAATTATTTATTTCAATTTTATTTTGCAAAATATAATCAATTAAATACAATGAAAAACAAACACTAAATTTGTCACGATATTTTTTAGTTAATAACGGTTGCATAACCTAAAAAAAAAATACTAAAATCATCCTCCATTCTATGAATTGTTAATTGAAATTACTAATTAAAATTTGATGTCTGACCTGGTTACAAAGAAAATCAGAATATTTCTTGTCTCTAAGCAAGTGGTCATCAAAAGCCATTATTATGAAAATTTTGGTTGATAATGGAAAACATGATATCCTACAGGAAGTTAAAAATTCCCAGCAAGACTCTACAAATAGTATGATTTGCTCATTATGAGTCTCTGTAGAAAGATTTCTCAAACAGTGTATCGCTGCTTTTAAATAAGTATTATAAAAGTTGTCTCGTTTTTCTAAATTTTTTTCTCTAATCCAATTAAACAAGTTTTCCATATTTAATTCAGAAACATTAGAACAAAGTTGAAAATAAGTATTAATTATTGTTAATTGTGGAATTATATGTGATCCCAGTTTTGATGAATGATAAAATAATTTACCAAAAGGTGAAAAATAACCATTCTTAAATAAATTATTTGTAGCCAGAATCCAGGCACTTTTTAAGGAGTTTTCAGAAATCTTTATGGCAAATAACCCAATCCAACTATAAATAGCTAAAATTGTAAAACTACCTGTCTTGTTTTCAAACATGAGATAACATTTATTTAACCAAATAATCATTAGTTCAAAAGTCACCAAAGTATGAGGTATCCTATTTGATGACAATGTCCTATTAAGATAGTTAAAAATAATTAGATTATCCATATAATCTTCATTTAAAAAACATTGATTAATCCAAATCAGAGTTAAACGCCAAATATTTTCGTCTAATATTTTTTTTAAATATTCGTCATAGCCTCCATGCTCATATTCCTTTTTTAATAAGTTTTCTAAAAATTCTAACAAATAAATAGAAATATTTTCAACATTAGACAGTGTATTATTTAAATAATCCATACATTTTATGTTATCTCCAAAAATATCAGATAAAATTACTAATCCAGTAGTAGTTGCTGATATGCTTTTGAATTCAGTTATGTTTTTTGATAATTGTTGATCAATTTTTTCTAAATTAGCAATATGTTTCATTGAATTGACAATTAATTTCCACGATTCGGTGTTTTTATTATACATTACAATATATTTGAATAAATCACAAAGTAAATAAGTATTAGGAAATGAAAAAAATTTGCTAATAAATACAAATAGAAATGAATAGATTGTTGTTTTTAAATAAGAGTTTGGCATTTCTTCGGTAATTACAAGCATTTTTAAAACTTGATCTACGACATTTTGGCATGATGAAACATCCTTGATATTTGAAAGTGATTTAGTTATATAAACTAAGGGAACTAAGGACCATTTAACTGATGGTAAGTAAAACAAAAAGTATTCAAACACACATTTTCCATCATCAGAACTCATCAATGTATTTAGCCATCTAGTTAGTTTCATTTCTAATTTTGGCGTAACTAAATATACATCATTTGACATCTTATACAGAAAAATATTGTTCAAAGATATAACAAACAATTGTAAAAATTGTTCTTCTTTTTTAATTAATGAGTTAGACATATTAGTGATAATGTCTATACTAACCAATACTACATGCTTGGATGTATGCTTTGTCATTTTATTGTACAATGCTAAAATCCAATTTAATGGTAGTTTATAAGAATAAATGTCAGATTCAGAATTTTCATATGATAAAGCAATTTTTTTGGCAGTATTTAGTATAGGCAAAACTAAATGTTGTTGAGTGTTTTCTAAAGTTTCCATAACTATAACATAATCGTTCCATATTTGTCTGAAATCATTCTTATTTGTATTTGCACTATATAAATAGTTTTCATCTAAAAATTCTATACATGATGCTCCAAGAAGTGTATTAGCATATCCCCTTATAATAGAATTTTCATATGTTAAAAAGATACAAATAAAATCCCAATAATCCTTATCTTTTAACAAAGTAGTAGCACATGATGGTTGAAGTAACGAACACTGCAAGTTGTATAATATTGTTAAAATGCGTTCTGGATTTGTTCCAATCACTGATTTAGCTTTGTACCACATCACATTTGCACAATAAGGTGACATAACATTAGATAAATATTTCAAAATACTTTCTAGGCGAGTTTTATTTAAGCTTGATTCAAATAAAATATCTATTAAAATATCTATTAAGTTATTTAATTGTACACACTGGTCAGATTGAACTTTACTTAATTTATACAAGTTTTCAGTACAAAACAAACTATTCTCTAATTGTTCATCCCTACAGGTTTTTAAATTAAGAGCACTGCATAACTTAATACAATTGTTTAAAAGTAATGTTATGTCACTAATATTACATGTTTGCACTATATCAATAAATGAAACCAACAGCAATTTTAAACTTTCTGATAAAGTATCATCTTGACTATATATTAATTGTTTACAAATAACTTGTGAGTATTGAATAATTAATTTATAAATATCAGATTCTTTATTTAATTCAAAACTATTTAATAATGTTGGTAAGAGTTCTATAATAGTTTTTTTCATAGAACTTTTACCATCCAAAATTTTTAACATTGATTGTAGAACTGTAATTTCTTCCATGATACTGAAAATTGAACATTAATATTAAAAAAATATAATAACAAGTATTTAGATTTAATAACAAATTTAACACATTTATTTATAATGAAAATATAAATACTATTAGAAAAAAAATTATATTTATGTTAACATTATTCATATCTATGAGCTTGAACAGGAGTAAGTTTGGGAAAACTACTAAGATTTTGAAATAAGCTTTTTCCAGTAATATAATGACTTAGTACATTAGGAATATTTATCGATCCATCAACAGTTTGATGTGTTTCTGCCAATGCGATAATCAAACGTGGAATAGCACAAGCAGTACCATTGACAGTATGAAGACAATTACCATTGGAATGAATATTTAATCTTTTAGCTTGATAATCAGAACAATTACTACAACTGGAAATTTCTCCATATTTTTTACGTCCAGGCATCCAAGCTTCAATATCATATTTACGATAAGCTTGAGCCCCTAATTCATGTTTAGCCATATCTAATACACGGTAATGTAAACCTAGTAAAGAATACAACTCTTCTTGAATACTTCTAAAATATAATGTCATTTTTTCTGAGTCCTCTGGTAAACATACTCCAAACATTTCTACTTTAGTAAATTGATGTACACGATAAACTCCTTTTTCTTCAGAAATGTTTGATACTTCAGCTCTATAGCACCGACTAATTGAACATAATTTTAAAGGTAAATCACTTTTTGGTATATTTTTATTCATTAAAAAACCAGCAAGTGCCATTTCTGAAGTTCCAGCCAAGCACCATGTATTGCCATAATAATGAGGATTTAAGTTATAAACTTGAGTACGTTCACCTTTAGTATGCATTCCACATTTTTCAATTAACTCATCTGGTAATATATCAGGGACTGATATTAACTTAAATCCTTTTTCAATCAATTTTACTAAAGTAAATTTAGTTAAAGCATGTTCAATTTTTGCTAAAGGACCAATAAAATAATAACTTCGGTCACCACAATAATTTGATAGATTGCTTGCTTTTAAACAATGTTTTAATTTTTTTAATGATTCCAATGGTAAAGGTTGAAAATCAAATTTCGGTTGTGAACATACATACTTTAAAATAGTAAAATCACCTTCAATTTTTTCAACTTCAGGATGTATCTGATTTTCATTATGGTTTAGAAAATTTGGCATTTCATTTTTATATTTATTTAAAACAACTGATAAATTATTACTCCACGATGAATAATTTTTAAATAATTTAAAAAGTGATTTATTTAGAGTTATTTGCAATATATTAACAGACATTATAAATATCATACAACTTATTTAATGCCAAAGTTTACTCACCTAAAGCATATCTTCAATCAAATTAAAATTAAAATTTTTGGTTATTCTGTGAATATAAAAAAAAATTATTATTGTTGTAATCAAATTACACAATTAAAAATAATAAATTTTTTTTCTTATTAGAGACAAATTACAAAGTGATAAAAATTGTTAAAAAAAAAAAGTATAGCAAAATATTTAGTAGATCAAAAATGACAATTTTTTTTTACCTACAATTTCAAAAGATACATCTATTTTTAAATATATAGCAGATAAGGCGTAGATTATATTATTTTTATCATTACTAATTACTCTGTCACACTCTTTCTTTACTCTATATTCAAAAATGTTAAACGAATAATTGATAATAACTTTTTTAAAAGTAGTTCAGTAGTTATGAATATTTTTCTAGTTGCACGAGAGAAATAATTTGACAGAGAAATGCATAATGATAAAAATCATATTACATTAGTCATCTACATTAAAAAATATTAATAACTTTTAAAATATTGTTATTAAGTAGTTATTAACTATGAATGTGTTAAAGCTTTCATGGATATATCCTCAAGCAGTTATTAACTAGTCATTTTTTTAGTTGAATCATTTACATTTATTCATATTACATAAACTCATTAAATATAGATGTTGCCATTTAAAAAAGTAATGTTGTTAACCTTTTAAAGAATAATTCATGGCCATAAACAATATTTAACCATTTATAAATTAATAAATAAAAAAAACTAAACTAAATATAATTTTTTGTTTAAAATTACTAATATATTAAGAGAGTTTTAGTAGTCATAGATATATCTATCATACAGCAAGTCAAGTAAATACTCAGACATCAGAAAAAATAATTAACTTCTCGAATTTTTCTAATGATGTTGAACATACTTGGTATACTATACTAGGTATGGTCATAATCATTAAAAAAATATTTCAATGAGTGATTGAACCATACTTAAGACTGTAAGATGATGACAATTCGAAGGACATTATTTTACCTAGCTAATATTCGAATATTTACTTGACTAACTAAATACGTTTTTTTTCATCAAGTTAAAGATATTTATTGATAAATAAGCAAAACTTACACAAGCTTATAAAGTAAAATAACAATTTAATTCATAATTCTTTATATCAATGAAGATATTTTCAAATCTTCTTAACAATCTTATCATCATAATCACAAATCACGTGTTTTTTAATACGTTTATCTTAAATCGTAATTTAATTAGTTTGTATGTAACTTATTCTGTCGTTTAATTCTACATTAATCATTATGAACCCTACATGACCACTATTATAATAGATAAATCTAAAAACCTAGGGTCTAATGCACATTATTGATGTATGGACTAAAATAAATTATTTCAATGAAATGTGTACAATATCATTATTTGAAAATTACACTAGAGGCCGCGGTTGTTTGAATTATCACAGATAACATGAAACATAATTTGTGATATCAATTCATGTTGACTGTAAAGACTATATGTTAAATTACGTATTGTTAACTGCACGATAAACTATTATCAATCTAATTATGAGCTTGAGTCACAGGTTTTTTTAAAAACATTGAAGTGGATAGAGTTGTATTGCACGACTTCTAAGTTATGCATTACTTCAATAATGGTTGTAATTATTTTGTGGTTGTATATTATCGAGGTTTCAATGATCGATCATTATCATAAGATCTACTACAGTGATAGGGCAGTAACTATTTAAAGTTTACAATTTCAATTTATTCAAGTAAAAAAATTATTATTTGAAATAACTATGAAAATTTTATGAATAATATAATAGTATTATTTAACTTTTATTTATGTTATTGACAAGTTTTATGTATGAACTAATAATTGATTTGATGAAAATGTTATCATTAGTTAAAACATCGATTGAATTTTACATAATGAGAATTACAGCTAAAATTTATTTTAATTTATTAAGTAAAATTTAATTATAATTAAAAATTTTCAAATATAAAAATACTCAAAAATATGGAATTTCATATTAAGCTGGTAAATAATTTATTAACTTTGTCTAATTGCGGTTTCTTTACTGTTTACTTAAGTCAATTTTACTAGTAAAAGAATTTTCAGTATTACAGTCTATAATGTATAAGGAATATGGTTCTATTAAACGTCAAAGATTACCTCACAGTAATATTATACGTTCATTGATTAATCGGGAAACAAATGGTATGAAATCACGAATCAGGTTTAAAAAATCCTTTTACCAAACTGTGTTTCCAAATTGTACAGTTATAAATGTAGAAAAACCACCATGCTATTTACGAAAATTTACTCCTGACGGTCGACATTTCATAGCTTTTTCACATGATCAACTTTCTATTGAAGTCTATGAATATAAGGGATGTTCTGAAGCTGTTACTCTATTGAAAAACTATAAAGGCAATTGTATTGGTCAGAATAAAGAAGGTGAAGCAGTTAGAATGAAAATTTTTGATCGACTATTTAAATTAAAACACAGGATAAGAGTTTCCCCAGGTGGAGAACAGCTAAATAGGGAATGTAGTTTATTTACGGATGATGGATCTTATGTGTTAGTTGGATCTGCTGCTATTATTCCTGATGATATTCGCCCCCAATTTTATGAAATTTATACTAATAATGAAGCAGTGAGTCCTAATCCTCTTTTCCCATTAGAAGATTATACATTACACCTAGTTGATATTGGATTAGGGCGATTGTGTGATTCAATACACTTTAAAGCTGATAAAATATTTCTATCACATAATCAAGGTATTTATCTATATAAAGATACATTAGCTGTACTTTCAGTTCAACATCAAACTATCAATATGTATAAAATAATTGATATGCAATTTTATTTGTTGAGAAGTATTGGACGATTTTGTTATGAAGATGATCATTTACTTGTAACATCTGTTTATACAATTATGAATAGAGCTTTGTATAGGCCTTTTAAAGAAAATTGCATTAATGGACTTAAACATAAATTGATGATATTTTTATTTAAAAAAGCTCAAAATGATTCAACAAGGACTAAATCACAGTATCCTTTGAGAAAATTTTACCAGTATTTTAATCAGGTATTAATTATTAATTATGAAACAATTTATTTCAAGTATTTAACCTTGAAAATCTGTAGTTTTAAATTCTTAACAGGGATGGAACTTAATAATGTTTCTGTAAAATAAGTAAAAATCAATGGCTATGATAAATCAAAGTTAACTTCCTCAAATAGATAAAAGGTTTTTTTTTTTGATAAAAATTATTATAAAATTGCCTAAAAATATATAATGCATATCTTTGATTTATACATATACATATATGTAAAACATTTTGTTGAGGTCTTGAATTAATTATTTAGTTTTTTATTTGTATTTAGTTATCAACATCGCTTATATTTTAGTTTTTATCTTTACGGATGTGGAAAATACAATTGTTAAATGAAAACCATATTCTAATTCGATATGCTTCAGAAGAAGTAGCTACAATAAAAATTCAAGAACCAAATACTCAAGCATCATTTTTTATGATTTATAATGTTGTTTCAACTAAGGTAATTTTTTTAAAATAGAAATGCAATTGTTTTTCCTAATAAATTTTAAATTAAATATGGTAGCATCTTAAATGTACAGTGTTTAACATTAGATAAAAAATATAAGTTCAATTCTAGTCAAATTGAAAAAAAAAACAATAAATGCTTTAGTAACTTGATATCAACTGGTTGTTAATGCATACTTAAGACTAGATTGATGAATAACTATCACCTTATAATGAAGAAATTCTATAGCAAAGTTGATTTACATTAGAATGTTCAAAAAAAATCTATAATTATTAATAAACTATGAGCTTTTTTTTTATTTAAACTTACTATTTAATGAACCCATCAATTTCATTTAGGGCTTAAATTATGTTAAATGATTTTTTAACATATTAATTGAGAAAAAATATATATATTTGCATTAAAATATTTTTTTCTGAGGCGAGGTAAAGTAATGTTTGGTGTGTATATAATAATTTTATTTCATAATTAATAAAAATAAATGAAACGTTTAAGGTAAATCATATTTTAATTATCATAGGTAATCAATGTTTTTGAAAATACGTCTGATGAATTGCTTAAAATATATGAGAATTATTGTGATTATTTCCGTAATTCAAAAGTTAATTCAGAAGGGTTTATACCTTGTTCGCCATCTAATAACATTTATTCATGGTATGTATAGAAGTTTTATTGTACTAGGTTAGTATCATTGAACAATTTTTTTTAAAACTTAGATGTTTTAAGCAATACGAGGAAGTGGTTGTCAAAATTTTTTTTAAAAGACTCAAAATTGTTAAGTTTGTCTTGTTTCTATAAATTATACATGAAATAATTTTTTTAATCATATTACTTATTTATTATATTCAACATTAAACTTATTTTATAGGGAATCTCATCAAAAATTTAAAAGTACAATAATTAATGCTAAATTTGGAGGAACAACAGAAGCTAATAAACGAATATTAGGTCAATTACCTATTGGTGCACAATCTTTTACTAGTTCACCTTATTTGGATTCATCACTTTTCAGTTATGATGAAAAGTGGGTGTCACCAATGGAGAGACCTAAGGTTGTTGGTGAATATCCTATAAGGTATGTTTAACTTTAATTTTATCTTTTAAATTTTTTTCATTATATTCTCTAACTTCTAATTTTTAAAACTATTTTTAAGATTCTACTCAAGAGAATCAGGTCTATTAAACTTTTGCTTATTTACTAGTGAAGCAAAAGGTCCAACAATCATTGATAGAAGACGTTTAGTAGCTTTTACATTTCATCCAACAGATCCTTTTGCTATAAGTGTACAAAGAGATAACTATGACTATGTTGTTAATTTTCACATTCATAAAGTTTTCATACCCGAATGAAAAATTACTATTGTTCTAAATATTAAAATCTTACAAAACGAATAGGGTAATTAAATTGATCTCATTAAATAATTGTTTATATTTTTAGTTACAATTAAAAACTAGTACTTTTCTATTACAATTATAAATAAAATTGATATATTTTTTTAATTATGTAAAATGTTTTTCAATACAATACAAATTTTGAAAAATTGTAAAAATTATTTTATGCATCATCATAATGAAATAAATTTAATTTATTAGGCAATTAATCATAATGATCAACTGATAGAGATAAACAGTATCATCTAGCATTAATTTTTATTAATAGTGAATAGCATGCATAATGAGAATCATTAAACATTGATAGAAGTCTCTTTAGCAAATTCTTCGTCTTTAGTTTGTAATTCTTTCCATCGTATCTCTAAATCTAAATATTTTTGCTGCAACATTTTCTCTCGATCTTTTTGTCGTTCAACGTCATCAGTCAAAGACTATAGTTAATTAAAAAATAGAAATTAGTTGTATTCACTAAAAGTTGTAAAAATTATATAACTTACTTTTAGCAAGTTTAAAAGTAAAATATTTAATAGATTCATAAATCAATTAAATACCTATATTTGTAATTCCTCAGATGTTATACATATATGTAATTCCAAAAAATTAAACTTTTAAGTGTTGTAACTAATATAAACTTGAATATGACTAACTTTATTTTACTTGATTCTACCTTTTATAAAATATTACCTGTAAACGTTTAGGAATAGCTGCTTCTTCTTGCTGTTGTAAAAATTTAAAAGTAGATAGCTCTAAATAAGCCTGCTCAATCTCATCTACAAGTGTTGTAAACTGTTTAATAAGTCCTTGAGAACGTGTCTAAAAGAAATAAAAATTATAAAACTGTTATGATTAAGCTTCCGCTAAGAAACAATACTCAAATTTATAGATTAAATACATTATTTTTAGTTTCGATGCGAAGCTGAGAAGATATTAATTTTACCATTATGTGATTATTTTGTGTATTACCACTTTGTCTCAGCTCTCACTGGACCGATTTCTTTCAACAATACGTCAAAAGATCACAAATCGTATCTAGTTAAAGACATTACCCTTAAAAATTGAAAAAAAATTCCCTCATTCCCTGTGAATGGGGGAAATCTACAAAAAAGTTACAATTTCAAAAATCAGTAATTTTTGACATTTTTTTTACTTTTTTTTTTTTTAAATGGCTATAACTTTTTGAATAATGAACGAATAAACAAAAATTATTTTATATGAAAATTTAAGTAATTCCCTTTTTCTTTCATATAATATTTTTGAAAATCTGACCCTTTAGCTGCCCCCAAGAGGGGATTCAAAATAATAAATTTTTTACAAAACTCAACTTTTCAACTTTAGTTTTAAAAATGTTCTGGGAATACTGTGTCTTTAAAACATATGTCAAATTAAACTTATATTATGTACTACAAATTAAAAAAAAAAATTATCCGGCGACCTGTCTTCTTTATGCAAATGGCTGCCGTAGTTAAAATATATGTTATTTTTGTGTTCAAATTTTATTTTATTTTTTTGTTTATTTTAAAGGTTTGCCATAGTAAATTTTGAATTTTTGAAAACTTAAAAATTTGTATAAAAAGTTAGATATCATCTATACTTGTCCCGATTATGCCACGTCTATACTGTGCCATGAACCTACTGTGCTACCATTTTATAAGATATTTAAAAAATATAAATATCAAATGAAAAAAATGAAACTGTCAACTTTTTAAACTTTTGATCCAAAATTTCACTGTAATTTTTTTTAAAACCATTTTTGTTTTCCTAGACTACGTTAAAAGTATGTTTTTTATTATTTAAAAAAAAATTTATTATACACTTTGTATATACAGAGTGATATTTTTGTCATAATCTACTCAATTATTTACAGAATAAATATAATTTAAACATTTTATTTTTTATTATCTTTAGTTACCCATTATTCTTGAATCATTTACTATGTAATACTTTTTAATTTCATCACTTATATCTAGTAAGGATGTCAATTTTGTTTTTTTAAATGGGAACACATATTTTGAATTTAATAAAATCTAAGAGTTTTTAATTTAATAGTAAATGGCATTTGAATTTTTAACATAACTTTATTTGTTTATTAGATATAAACATTTAAAGTTTCAAATTTTTGAGTTAATATACATGTATAATACATAAGAAATTACAAATACAGGTAGCTAAATGGTTTTTATGACATCGCTGTCACAGTCACAGATTGTTTATTATCAATTATGACTATCATTAGATATACTTTTTATATAGTCAGTTAGTGTATTTATGAAATCGCAACAATGTACCTTACTAGTGGTAATAACAATGCTGTGTACCTGCGAATATTGATAAACCTACCAATAAGATACCTGTAATTGTAATACCTTGTATATTATACATGTATATTAATTTAAAAATTTGAAACTTTAAATGTTTATATGTAATAAACAAATAAAGTTATATTAAAAATTCAAATGCCATTTACTATTAAATTTGAAATTCTAACATTTTATTAAATTCAAAATATGTGTTCCCATTTAAAAAAACAAAATTGACATCCTTACCAGGTATAAGGGATGAACTTAAAAAGTATTATATAGAAATGATTCAAGAATAATGGGTAGCTAAAGATAATAAAAAAAAAATGTTTAAATTATATTTATTCTGTAAGTAATTAAGTGGGTAATGACAAAAAAATCATTCTGTATATACAGAGTGTACAATCAATTTTTTTTAAATAATAAAAAACATACTTTTAACATAGTCTAGGAAAACAAAAATGGTTTTAAAAAAAATTACAGTGAAATTTTGGATCAAAAGTTTAAAAAGTTGACAGTTTCATTTTTTTAATTTTTAAGTATTTTCTTGGTTTATCCCTTATGTCTTCAATTTAATTTTTTTAAATAGCAACATACATATTTAACTAACCAAGAGAAGTCTAATGATAAAAATAGCAGCAAACAACCCACTCCTTCTTGTGCGTAGACATAGAAATGTGAATAATTCCAAAGTTTTAGTTCAATATATTATCAACCAGCCATTTTCTTAACCAGATCATTTTATATTTGTTACCATTATAAAATATTAGAAATGAATCAAAAAAGTTAAAACTATTAAAAAATACATGTAATTAAAAAAAGTAAAAAATACTTATTTTTTTCAAAATTTTATAATATTTATTATTTTATTATTATACTTCACAGAAAAATTAAGCATTAATAGTTTTTAATCTTACTTGATAACCACCAAGAATAATTTTTATTTTTTTTTCCATTTTTCCAGCTTTTTTAGCTTCTTTAGTCATATGACCTCTGTTCTGTTCAAGTTTTTTTTCTAATGACTCAATTCGATCCTTTTTACTTGCTAAGTTAGCTCTTGTATAACGATTTTGATTAGGTAAAAATAGTACTTGACCCAAACATTCACCCCATACTTGAGTAAATGAATCTAAAGACAATTCACCATGATTCATACCATATTTAACTACTTCCATTTCTTTTTTCAACATTTTTCTTGCCTAAAATTTTTTTAATATAGTTAACATAATGTATAATGGACAAAAAAATATTAAATTACATTTTCTATTTCTTCTTCGGTAAAATGTTGATATGGATGTGTTTGTAAATATGCTAAATGTTGACCTTCAGTTAATATAGGTTGTTTCTTTGGCCCACTTTGTGTGAGTGTTGCTACTTCTGGAGGAAGAGGGTTACGAACTGCATCATAATGCAGCATTGTAATCATTTCTTGTTTTATTAATTCTTCAGCCTATTGCAATGCAAAAGAGAAATTATCATAAAATTAAAAGAGATGTTGAATGATTTTCAAATTTATAATTGAAATATTATTTGTATTTTAAGGTTTTGTGTATAAATATTTTAACTTTTTATATCTGTATTCTGTAAATCAATCATTAATGTTTGCTCATTAGGTGAATATAAGTTTATTATAAATAAATAAACCAAATTAATTTTTTAAAAACTGTTTGTTTACATAAAAAAAGAAAAAAACTTAACAGAATCATAAGAATTATCTCATGGAATAATATTGAAAATACTATAATTAAAAAACGCACATTGTTACATGACAAACCTGATTTTGAAAGAGAGACAAAAAATAGATGAGTTTCACATACAATTTTCTTTATTAAATGCATAACTTGAAACTGCAATAATGATTAGTTGATTTAATTGCAATAAGGAGTTTAAGTTACTAAATAAACTAATAAAATTAATTGAGGCAACTCTTCAAAATATGGAAATCAAAATAAGAGTAACATTAGAAATGTCAAAGCCAGCAACGGTAAGAAAAGGCTTAAGACAAGGAGATTTGCTATCACCAATATTGTTCAATCTAATCAGAGAAACAAATTATAACAGAATAGTATTGGGAAACTCAAACATAAATCTTGGTTTACACTGACGATATAACAATATTAGGAGATACTGAAGAAACGGATAAGAGAATATACAGGAAACTCATCATTATGGCTAGTAAGGTTGGGCTGGAAATAAACAACAAAAAAATAACCCTGATTCAACCCATAGTACTGTATGCCGTGGAGACATAGTCACTTAGGAAAGCAGAAGAAACTAGATTGAAAGTATTTGAAAGGAGAATCCTACAGTAAATCTATGGCCCATGTGTCAACACAAACATATATAGTGAATGGTTTAAACGTCATAAAAGAGAACTCGAGCAACTGTTCCAGAGACCAAACATCACAAATGAAATTAAGAAAAGGAGATTGACCTAGGCAGAAAATGCATGGTGGTGAGTGGGATTTATAGTTAGATGATGAGAACCCAGTTGGTGAGAGACCTCTAGGAAGACCACGCTTACGTTGGGAAGACTGTGTGAAAAGGGACGTTGGAAGCATTAAGTCAGAGATACTATGGAGATGAGTGGCAGAAGAGAGAGATGGATGGAAAAAAATTTGTTTGGCAGTGTGGTCTCAATGACCGTAAACAAAAAAAAAATTGCAATAATAAAAGTAAATAACTAAGATAGAAAACTAAGTGTTAAAGAAATTTGCATGTTAAAAAGGATCATTAGACCTGAATTTTTATTTAAATTAGGAATTATGATATCGTTCCAACGTTATTTATCCTAATTACTTTCAAAGAAAATATTTATAAAATTAACATTGGAAAAACATACAATTATTATTATTATTATTTCAATATGGTTTCAAGTTTAGTTGATATAGAAATATATGTACTAAAATATCATTAAAATTTAATAACCTTCTGAAGATCAGTAAGAGGTGGTTCAGAATTTAAAGGCCTCAGAACAATATTTGTATCTGGAGGACGAGGTAAATTTCTTTGAATGACTTGAGATCTCAATTTCATTTCCATTTTTCCTGCAATTAAAAATTTTAAATTACTTTATTTGATGAAATCAAACTTCTAATTTACAAACAACTTACGACGAGCCATAATTTCTTCTGCACTACGCATTTCAACATCAGACTGATCTTCGATAAAGTCCTTCTGTTCATTACTCTCTTCTTCTTCTGGTTGATCTTCAGGAACAACAATTTCAAAATCATTTTTTGGTTGGGGTAGAGTACTTAAACCCACTTTGAGCTGTTCTTTTTGCTGATGATGAAAATTTTTCATAGCTTGAGGTGTATTAATAATATCCATGTCCATAGAGTCCAACTGATTAATACTTAATTGATCTCTTAGTGGTGTAGGTGTAGCTATACCAGACTTTACAACTGATCTATTACTTTGAGGAGTTTGGAAACTATCATTTAACTGTTGTGTATGTGGTGTTCCTAAGATAGTATTTGGAGTGGTAATAATTTGTCTTTGAGGAGTTACACTGCTAAAATCAACATTCTGAAGCTCAGTATTTAACCCACCTTTAAGTGGGGTATCTACATGTGTTAAAGCCATAATATTTTGAGCATCCTAAATAAAGAGTTATAGATTAAAATGAGAAATAAAAAAAAAAATTATTAAAAAATTACTTGTAAAACTTTATCTGTTGACACAGATGGAGTTCGAGGTGTGCGACCAGGAATATTATTTATTGATGGTGTATAGTCAGAGAGAAGTGCATCTGAAGCTTGCTGAACACCATTTTCCATTGCTATTTCTCGAGCAACCTCACTAGCTCTTCCAAGTTTAACCACTTGTTGTAGTTCCTACAAAAAGTTATTATATAAAATAAATAATGAATTTAAAACAAATGATTATTCTCATAATTTACTTGATCAGATATTTGAGGTTCTGGTAATACAAGTTTGCTCATTTTTCTTATTGGCTCTTGATTATTCAATAAAGCTAAAGGGACCTCATTTTCTTTTCGTTGCTTTAACTTAGCTTTATCTTTCTTTCTTTCTCTCTATAAAATAATTATAACAAATTTTTAATTTAAGTTATAGACTTTAACTGTACATTTTTTAATTTAAAATAAAACATATACTTCTTCTATTTCTACTCGTAATTCACCATCTAAATTTTGCTGTCGTAATTTTCTAAAATCTGGTGCTAATGGATCAACCTCTTCATTAGCAGTATCATAAAATCCTAAAGCTGGCTTTTTTTCAAACGGTATTTCAGCATTATAATCAATACCTCGTCTTCTTTTATTACCTCTACCTACACCTATACCAGCAGCTCGTAACTCTCTACGTTTCTATAAATATAATTAATAACATTACTCTTTTATTTTATGAAACTTTAATAAAAACTTTATTTTACTTGAAGTGCTGCAAGTCTACGGGCTTCTTCTAACTGCTTTTCACGAGCCTTACGTTTTGCTTTTTTACCTTGAGTATTAGCTAATCGAGCTCTAGCTTCAGATAGCATTTCCAATTCTACAAAATTATATAAACATTTATAATAATAAAACTAATTCATTGTTGTTAATGTAATATCATAAATCTCCAAAAAAAAAATAAAAAATGAGATTTAAATATAAAATTTTCAAAAAAAAAATAATAATATTAAAGTTAACATTATGTGTGATTTTTTTAGTCCACAGAGGTTACAGGCATTGAAGCAATTTCACATATATTATTATAAGGTTTTTACGTCACTTAAAAAAATGACTTTTTAAGGATACTCTGTGTCGCATTGACAATGACAATTTTTTATCAAATAGCATAATTAAGCTTAAATATTATGCTATATTACTCTCACTTTTTTATTTTAATTTTTAAAATAAGTGTTTGCAAACAAATTCTTAGAATACAATATTTTTTAATTTTTAAATACTTAAATAGAAGAATTGAGTTAACATAATTCTTAAACTAACTTTAAAAATAATTTTATATTAGAATAATTCTAATATATAATTATATAACATATAATATAATTGTTATTGTTAACCAGTGCAAACTATGAAAATCTAATGTTTTACTATCATAATTAGGTATACTAATTATATTGAATTCTACTTTGTTTGTGTTTATTGTAAGATACACTTTAAAATTAAAAAAAACCCAGCACAGGGGGGTCGCGGCACAGTGGTGACGTGGCATAGTTGGATCAAATATAATGATATCTGACAGTGATTAAAATCACTATCAAAAATAAACGCTTCGATGCAAATCTTTAGATAGTGTTTAACTTTAAAAAAATTGGTGTTTTATTCCAAAAGCTACTTGATCTGCTGGTTCTTATTAATATCTCGATTAAGATAAAGTATGTCGAATGAAAAAGGGTTTATTAAAAAATATTATTTCTCATAAAAAAATTGTGTGGATCCATAAACTTTTCAATAAGTTATAGCATTATAAAGTTAAATATAATATAAATAATAAAATCGAGAATTTTCACACGAAAATAGCATTCGGTAGACATTTTCGCCGTGAAGACAAGTCCAGATGTCAAATTTTATTTTTTCACATTAGAGTATATTACATTAGCTTTAATTTAAGATATATATAAAAGTGTCAGACCTTCCGGAACATTTTCAAAAGTTAAGTTGAAAAAGTTAATTTTTTATGAAAAAGTTGTCATTTTAAATCCACCCCTGTGGGCAGACAAAAAGTCAAATTTACAAAAAAAATATACCAAAAAATAGGTAAAGACATCAAGCATCTATATAAAAAAAATTTATATTGATATGTTCATTTTTGAAAAAGTTAGAGCATTATTAAGTTAAAAATATAAAAAAAAAATTATATTACAAAAATCGTAATTTTTTATTAACTTTGATGTCAACTTTCACCACGAAGACAAGTCCAGAGGTCAATTTTTTTTTTTTCAAATTAAAGAACATTACATTAGCTTTAATTTAAGATATATATAAAAGTGTCAGGCCTTCCGGAACATTTTCAAAAGTTATGTTGAAAAAGTTAATTTTTTATGAAAAAGTTGTCATTTTAAATCCCCCCCTGTGGGCACACAAAAAGTCAAATTTACAAAAAAAATATACCAAATAATAGGTAAAGACATCAAGCATCTATAAAAAAAAAAATTATATTCATATGTTCATTTTTGAAAAAGTTATGACAGTTTTTAGTAAAAATAATTGAAAAATTTTCGAAAATTAGCCATTTTTAAATTTGTAATTTTTTTGGAGGTTTCCCCCATTTACGGGGAACGAGGGAAATTTTTTCAATTTTGAAGGGTAATGTCTTCGACTAGATACGATTTGTGATCTTTTGACGTATCGTTGAAAGAAATCCGTTCGGTGAGAGCTGAGAAAAAGTGGTAACAGAAAAAAAAAAAAAAAAAAACACATCATAGTAAAACCAATACCTTCTCAGCTTCGCATCGAAGCTAAAATATTAATTATTTCTGAAAAATTAGGCTAATAACAAAGCATTTTCAAACAGTTTAACTTTAATACTACTTAGGAAAAACAAATAACTTAATATCTATAATTTAAACAAAAATGAAATAGCCATAAATAATAAAAAATATATATGAAGTTAAATAAAATATGAATTTAAGTTAGAAAATAAAAAAAAAAAACGGTAGCACAGTGGGGTTGAGGCACAGTGTGGACGTGGCATAGCTGGAACAAGTATAGATTATATCTAACAGTGATTAAAATCATTATCATAAGAAACGTTTCGATTCAAATTTGTAGATAGTGTTTAATTTTAATTATTATTATTCCCTTAATATTTATCCCGATTAGTTATTTGATTTATAATTATAATATATAATAATAATTATAGTAATGAAATTTGGTATGAAATTGATATTCAATAATTTAATACTATAATTTTTACGGAGATATCATAAAAATAATAAAGTACTTGTATATTTCTTTACTTTTAATGCGTATAAAAATTTAAAGGGCTTAATACAATACTTTTCAATAAAAAATATTAGTTACTTATAACAAACTTTAAGTTTTTTACACTTACTACAAGGAACTCTCATCAGTAACAAAAATATACTTTTCTAAATGAATTTTTCGGCATGTTTTCAAATGTGCAATTAGACTTTTTCTATCACTTCTAAGTTTTAATATTATTACTTATTATTAAAAAATAAGTATTTACATATAAAAAAAAAATAATTAAGAACAAATTAATATGTTAAAAATAAAGAAAAATGACATATTTAACCTATTTTTTTAATCTTTTAAAGTTGATTTTTGTGAAAGTTTAATAATAAAAAAAAATTTATTTATTAAAAAACTTTTAGTTCAATTTGCAAGTCTGAAATTGACATCATTAAATAGAAAATATTATGAGAATTAAAAAAATTGTATTGTTAAGATTAATATGCAGTCAGGAAATTTTATAGTTACTATTTATAGTAAATTCATCAGAAAAGCTTAATATTTTTTTACATTTTTATCATAATAGATAACTTAAATAGAAAGAATAGTTATCATTTCCTAGTAATTTTTGGTGTTTAAAAAGATTCTAAAATCATTAAAAAAAAGTAGGTCAAGTTAGAGCAGAGAAAATGAATGATATTCACAAAAAAATACCTTCTCAGCTTTGCATTTAAGCTAAAACCTAAAATATAGTATAATAATTTTAGTTTGAAGAAGAAATTTCTTCTCGCGAGGGGCGACTACAGTGATGGGATCCTTGATCTTTATTGAAGTTATTGAATCTAAATAAGATAAAAATCAAAGAAGTTGAAAATGTATTCTAAATTAAAATGAATTAAGAAAAAAATGCAAAAAATTCCTTGCCATACACAGGTTGGAACTTTGTACCCCAAGCAGTTAAGACACAAGTTTTACCGATTTGGCAACCTTACGTCGCTTTTGTCGAATGAAAAAAATGGCAATTTAAGCTAGTTCAAACTTCAAAGTTATTTTTCTCGATTTAAAAAAATTAAATAAGTTTAACTTTTTATGCTATATCAATTTAATTTATATAATATTTATGAAAATCAGTGTACTCCCTTTGACAGGTATTTAAAAAGTTAAAAAGTTATGGCAGTTTTAAGTAAAAAAAATTGAAAAAATGTTGAAAATTAGAGAATTTTAAATTTGTAATTTTTTGGTGGATTTCTTCCGTTTACAGAGAACGAGGAAATTTTTTTCAATTTTTGAGGGTAATGTCTTCGACTAGATACAATGTGTGATCTTTTGACGTATTGTTCATCAAAATCGGTCCAGCGAGAGGTGAGATTGAGTGTTCACAGACACAAAAAAAAAGAAAAAAAAACAAATCATGGTAAAATTAATACCTTCTCAGCTTCACATCAAAGCTAAAAATAAATTTGACAGATAACTGTTAAAGTTAATAATCAAACATATAAATTACAAATTGAAATAATTATTATATTCCTATTCTAAAGAAGTGAAAAAATAATTATACCATCTTCATCCATATCTTTAGGATCTGGACGAGCTGGTTTAGTTTCAGGATTAGGATCTATTTCTCCTGGTTTCAGTTTTCTTGGATCTTCTCCAACTTCTTCTCCATCTTCTTTTCTTTGAGCTTGATCTCTAAAAAGAAAAAATGCATTGTTAAATGAAATACATATAAAATTAGAAGAAGGATGGTTAAAATTAAATGTTTATAGTTACAATAAGTATTCATATCTTTCCAAACATTGAGAAGCAGTTCGACCTACAATTGGTGCAATAGTACGCCATTGGGTTGGCATAAGTTTTGCAAGATGCAAGAGTTTTTCATCTTCTTCTCGACTCCATTCTGTTTTTTTAATACTGGGATCAAGCCATTCAAACCAACGAGCTTTACATTGCTTAGCGGACTTTCGATGTAATAATGATGCAATTCGTGACCATTGATTTTTTCCATATTTCATAACAGCAGCTTTAAGAATTTCATCCTGAAAAAAGATAGGAATAAAATCAATATTTAAGTATTCTTGTAATTCATAAGCCTTGAGAAATAAATTTTAAATGCAACCATTTCTAAAGTATCATTATAAATAAATAAATAAAAAGAAACTAAATTGAACACTTACACAAATATTGACATATAAGATTTAAAAGGTTGTTCAAAAAGTCAAAAATGTCTGATGTATAAATGGTAGCTTTAATAACTTATCCTTATGATTTTTAGTTAGTACCTTCAAACGAAACGTGTCAAAATTTCATGACATTTCAACAACACATTCCTAAGATACAGTCATAGAAGAAGTAAAGCTACTTATATTATTTTGTAAACAATGGATAAAAACAAATTTTGTACGTTAATTAAACACTGCTATTTAATGAGAAAAACCACTGTGAAAACCCAAAAATAGCTTGAAAAATGTTTTAAGGACTCTACCCCTTTGAAAACAACTTTTTGTCACTGTTTTACTGAATTAAAACATGTTCATACAGACACAAATGATGCTGAACGCTCAAAACACCCAAGTAAGACAATTATGCCAGAAAACATTAAAAAAAATTCACAATATCGTGTTGGAAAACTGTAAAGTGAAAGTGCAAGAGATAGCTAACATTGTTAAGATTTCAATTAACTGTATGCATCACATTTTACATGAACATTGGGGTATGAGAAAACTATGTTCGAAATGGATAGTGTGTTTTCTAATAGTGGACCAAACACAACATGTCGATGATTCACAGAGCTGTTTGAAGCTATTTAACAAGAATAAGAAATTTTTGCATCAATATATGACAATGAATAAAATGTAGATCTACGACTACACTCCTGAATCGAAACAACAGGCAGCAAAGTGGACTGAATCCAGTAAAAGTGTTCCGAAGCAGCTAAAAATGCAACAATCAGCAGGCAAGGTGGTGACCTCAGTATTTTGGAATGCGCATGGAATTATATTTATTGATTATCTCTGACATGGTAAAATAATCAATAGCTATTACTAATTATGTTATTGGAGCATTTGAAGACTAAAATGAAAAAAGGTGAAAAAAGACCATGAATGGTCTTGCTTCATCAAAACAATGCACCATATTACAAATCATTGAAAATGATGGCAAAAAAGCATGATTTGGAGTTTGAATTATATTAATTAGAGTAGGATAATATCCTACTTTTTAAAATAAGTGTATCTTAATTTCATTGAAAAGGATATATTATATTAATCTATTGACTACTTCTAAGAAATTAAATCAATGATGTCTCCTTAGATTTTCACTGGGATAGTGTGTTTCAAAATTTAATGAGCCCTGTAAACAGGATGATCGTTTAAGAATAAGATATTCATTTTCTCAGAAACTTGAAAGTTTATAATATTTATTATTCAATGAACTGTTCATTGGTTATTGTTTGTTAATGATAAGCAACATTTGACTAATTTAATATAAAAAATACAAAAAAGGATAACTGTATCATTACACACTATTATTTTTGATTAAATACATTATGTATGGGAAAAAATAGAATATTGACTTAATAATTTATGAATATTCTTTTAAAGCAATGTTTTAAACTTTTTTACCACTGTTGACCACTTTATCAAATGTTAAAATTTTATAGTGACCTTTACCATAACTGAATAAAAAATGACTACCTAATTAATTCCTAAACCACGATTGAGAAACAATGATATAGAAAGCATACAGGTTTTGATAAATCTAAAAACTTTTATTAAACATTTTGTATTAATTTTTTTTTTTTTAATAATAATTAAGGCATTCTTAAACTGTGTTAAAAACATATTTATTTTTTATAACTTTTTCCATTTTTAGATTTTTATACTACAAACTGATTATTTTGAAAAGTTTTGTAAATAGTTATGTTAAAAACATAGCTTTTATAATTTATATTTAATAAAATTTCAAAATTTTAAAATAGCACTTTTCTTAAAAAAAAATTTTGATAATTCAATAATATTTTTAATATGAGTACTTAGTGTTACAAGCATTTATATATATTGAATGGATGAAGTATGTATTATAAATATACTCCAGTACAAACTGTACCTACTCGCATTAAATTTTTAAAAACAAAATTTATTTAAAAAATTGAATATATTTTAAATTGTTTGAAATTTCATTGTTTTTTATCATTTATATTAAATTTAATAGCCTTATCTTTAAATTAAAAAAAATATTTTATAGTAATTATTATATTATTTTATTATATCATATTGGACTGAACATTTTTGATTATAATTTACCAGTTAGGTATTTTTAGTCTAAAGTGAAATTTGCATAAAATATCAATAACTAATTGTAAGATGCTTATGGCATTTTCAGAAAATTAAATTACCTTTTATATTTAACATGTGTTATAATAAACTAAAAATAGAGTTTTAAGATGTTACTTTTAAGCAAAGAAATTTATTGAGTGAATTATGGTGAAATGTTTGAATAAATGATAAAGTTAATTGCATATTATACAATTACAAGCATATACATGTAATATGAGTTCGTATGGAATAAATAATAAATAAATTTGATTCATAAGATCATCGTTTTAACTTATATAACAATTTAAAAAAAATGACTTATAAAGATAATAAAATATTTTACCTCGGTGTTCCGCCAAACACCACCTTTGATCATAATTCGAGGCATTTTTAAAGTTTTTAAACTTTTTTGTATTTATCAAACAAAATACTGAAATTAATAATAAAAATATAATAATTTTAATGTATAATATTAACTTATGTTCCAGAAGTATAAATACGAAGATATTTAACATACAACTACCAAGATAATATATATATTAATTCGTTATCATACATCAGGTTTAAACAAATTATTTGGCACATGGTTATATAAGCCGTCTATATAATCGTTATCTAGCATCACAAATACACATAACAAAGTTAAAGCCAACATTCAGCTATCTGGTAGCTTAATGGTATTTTGTTATTGGTAGTATTTTTATCATTATTAATGATTGTCACATGGATATGGCATAAAAAATGATGATTTTTAAAATTCAGAAAATGATTTCTCCAATGCATAGTTCCATTTCTATTTACTAAACGTGTAGGTCGTTTAAAAGATTTAAATTTAGATATTAATCTTCTTTACTGAATAAATCAATAAAAAATAAATTCATAAAAATATTAAATACTCTATTAACCATATATATTTTAAACATTTTTGCATGTTTATTTATGCAATTGGACAGTGATAAATTTTAAGCATGTCTAATAAAGAAACCAATGAAATTCGAGGAATGGCCAAGTCTGGAAGATTTTGGAAAACTCCAAAAACTAAGTATTAATAAAAAATTCTTTTATTTTCTCTAGTTTTATTAACAATTTTTTAATGATTGTGAAACTTAAATAATAATAATTATTCTTTAAGTTTCTTTAATATTATAGTTATTATAATATTAGTGGTAAAATGTATTAAATATATATTAGTTGCTAGTTTAAAATTAATACTAAAGAACTTTTTAGAAAAAAGTTAGGCTGTTAAGATTTATATTTAAATTTATACTGCTTATATCTAATAAAAATTGCTATAGGTTCTCTTCAATTAATAAAACTAAAGGGCTAAAACTTTCTTTTGAGCAAAAGCAAAAATTACGACAGGATATAAAAAAAACTAGAGAACTATCACGAGCACTTATAAATGAAAGAAATGCTGAAAATGAAGCTAGAAAAGAAAGAAGGCGAGAAAACATTAAACGACGTGCACTGAATCAAAAAAAATCAGAAGTCGTTCAAGTAGTAAGTTTATGAATCACTTAATAACCTGAATATATATGTTCTTGTTTAAAATTCAAATTGGCCTTACTTATTATGATAGTTTAATTATTCTTAATAAAAATAGTTTTATATGTCAGATAGGTTATATTTAATTTTAACCTTCATTTCGCAACTTAAAAACTAAAAGGTTCCTTCTCTTTATTTTATAACTTTTCAGGAGAGCTTTTTAAGGATTTCAAAGTTCAATTTTTTTTTTTTACAAGTAGTTAAAACTTATCGCTACAATATTATTCATTAAAGTATTCAAATAAATTGATTATTATAGTAAAATATTGAGGAATAATTGAAAATTCCCAAAATTATCTTATAGAATATTAAATATTTTAAATGTTTAAAAAAAAAAATTAAATGATTACAGAAACCTTTGGTTTTTAGGCTGTGATTTGTAGAAGCTTAAGACTAATAATTTTTTTTAGTATAAAATAATGTTGTAATAAGTAATATAATTAACATGAAGTGTAGTGGTTGACCTATGTGCCGTGATCATGAAGAACATATTACACTCTCCATGAGTGCTGGTTGATCCAAGTAATTATCAGCTCTCGTCACTTGATGAGCTGGTATTTTTTAAGGCGCATAAGTTAATATTTCTGTTTACCATTATTAGTATTATATTAATTTGTTAATATATTTATAAATATTGTAATATGATGTATCATTCTGATACACTATTTCTCCCAATCCGTTTTAAAAATATTCATAATTCCTAACTACTGTTTGAAGAGTTGTTATTGACCAGTTATTTTCTATTGTATGAACTTGTTGAATATGTTGCCATTTAAAAGAATGTTAAAGTTGGTCTCTTTATAAGGGACAGATCTAAAAATATTTAACGACTCAAAAGTCAAGAAATATTCATTACTTAAATATGCAAGAAAAAAAATTATCTAAATTATTATTATTTTCTAATCATCAATAATAAATAAATCCTCCATATTTTTAATTATTTATTAGATATTTTTACTTGTTTTAGATTAAAAACCCTGCAAAAATAAAAAGAATGAGGAAGAAAGCCATGCGCCAAATAGAAAAAAGGGATACTTTAAATATGACCTAGTAGATGTTACAGATTGAATAAAATGTGATTAATCAGTTTTTTATATTTGTAATATAAATGGAGATCAACTTTGACAGTGTTTTATTTTTAGTATTATCTATGAAAAAAAAAAAATATTAATTGTAAGTCACATTCCACATTATAGCCAAATAATCAAATATTACTGACATTTATATAGAGTTAAATGCTGACAGAGTCCAGAAGTTTTTGTAATTTGTTATGTATCGTTGAAAAAAATAGATTCAATGAAAGCTGAGAAAGTGTTAACAGACACAAAAAAAAAAAATTAATAACATTTAATACATCATAGTAAAATTAATACCTTCTTAGCTTTGTAATCAAGCAATTAATTTATAACCTATTGAATTAATGATGAATTTTTCCTTAAAATCTAAATTTTTAAATGATATTAAAACGGCAATATTTCATAGAATTAAAAAAGTTTTAAGAACAAAATTTTTTTTAAATCATATTTTTTAATTGGTGGGATGAAAAATAAATTAAATCACAGGAAATAGTTTTCTAAATCAAATAATTTTCTTTTAACAAAAATTTTAAATGTTCATATTATGGAAACCCTTATAAGGTATTTTAAAATAATATAAATTTAATAATATATAATTTATATAACTATAAATAGTTGCACACCCTGACCCTCCCCAAATGACGTCCCTGGCACTCAATACATACATATAGTAAGGAGTATTCTATGTATCTTAAATATTGTAATATTATGTTACCACTTATAATATTAACACATAATATGATGTTATCATTTGTACATGTATGTCACATATGAATATACAAGATCACCAAAACGGGGTTTCCTTTTATAAAATACCAAATAACCAGCTAATTATGGGAAAAATCTACTTATGTTACAATTTTTTAGGTAACGCCTACACGCTGGACCCCCATTATAATTAATTAATTAGAATAAAAAACTTGGGTTTCCATGATCACATAAGGGATGGCAAGACTACCCATTTCTACCTATAAAAAGCCATTTTTCCAAATCAAAACCAGTGCTTTCGGTTATTTTAAAATACAACTTAATTGCAACACCCTATTCAAGATTCTCACTCTTTGGGTCGTTTTTTCTAATTTTTTTTGGACTTAAAATATTTTTGTTTTGAAGCGGGATTATTATTGATAATAAATCGAACGCTCACTTATGAATAATTTGTTTGTCATTTTTTAATTTTGAGATCAATATAATAAACATTAAATTTAAACAAGAATGAATAATTTTTACAAAATATTTATTTCTTTTTTTTTATGTATAATTAAAACTTAAATAAAAATATTTATTTAAATGATCTGGCAGCGGTGGAACGTACATTAATTAAACCTATGCTACAATAGACACATTGCCGGCCAGATAAACAAAGATAAAGATACAATAATATATAATGACTCGCACTAACAATTTTTTTAAATTAAATGACACTTAGAAATTTTAAAATGAATTTTGTTTTGGTGAATCTTAATTTAAATTTGTTTGTTTATTTTATTATATAATAGAACAAGGAGAAAAACGCTTTTCTGGGAAAATTACTTAGCGTGCTCCGATTTAAATTTTTTTTTCCAACAAAAGTATTTGGTCACGAGGACTCCGGAAAAATTATTGGCGATAGTCGAAAAATTTTTGCCGCTCGCCAGCAAGCATTTTAAAATGTCGATCGTTTTCGAGAAAAACGTTCGCTGACGCGTTTTACGATTGAAGGTTTGAAATTTTCATCAGACCCACCCAAAGATATTTCTGAGATATCATACAAAAAATTAATTCAATCCGTTCATTTTTCACCGTTTTACGAATTGGGTTTGGTTGGGTTTCTTTTCTCACACGCTTGAGACGCCAAAGCGCTCCGCCCCAAATTCTTGTGATACTTTACGACATGAAAACGATTTTTTTTTCGATTCGCAATACACAACAGCAGTCTACACGTACCGAGGAAGCGCCAAAAATCCAACAGAACTACCAAAACTGATAGCTACGTGATGAATTTCAAATGCTCGTTGGAATTTTAACAAAAAATAACAATTTTTCTGTATGCCAATAATACATGTAATAATTTAATCAAGTTTATTGTTATATATATATATATATATTGTTTGAAATTTTCTTAATAATCAGCTTACTGTTTAATTGTACTTTATTCGCTTTGAATTTATTTATTTTTTATGTCCACGAGGAGTTTATATTAAGATACGATTTTTTATTTGCGCATAGCAATATATTTTGTATATTTTATCAAGGAATGTGTTGATAAGTTATATATAAGTTTCAGGACGGTTATAAGTATATAAGTTTGTACATTCATATAATACAGTACTATTAATCGTATTTATGTATAATGTATGTCTATAATTTTAACGTAAAAATTAGTGTCAGTATAGGACATCTATGCTGTCCAACTTCAAATCATAGTAACCAATATTCTTGTCAATATTGAATTTTTACATATTCCTAGGAATAATAACCTGCCGATTTTTTTTGTAATTATTCCATAATATTAATACAATTATTATAATTAAAATATTAATAATTATTATGTATACGAGGGGCGTATTTAAGAGGAATATGGGCGATTGAACCAGAGCTATCAATATTTTTTTAGGCAACTTCTAAGATATATGAGCCTGATGGCCTGTTTTTTAGCTTCGATGCGAAGCTGAAAAGGTATTAATTTTACTATGATGTGTTTTTTTTTTTTTGGTGTCTGTATACGCTTAATCTCAGCTCTCACTGAACCGATTTTGATGAAAAATATGTCAAAAGATCACAAATCGTATCTAGTTGAAGACATTATCCTCAAAAACCGAAAAAAAATCCCTCGTTCCCCGTAAACGAGGGAAATCCCCCAAAAAATTACAAATTTAAAAATCGCTAATTTTCGATATTTTTTCAATTTTTTTTACTTAAAATTGCCATAACTTTTTTAAAAATGATCGAATCAATATAATTTTTTTTTTATAAATACCTTAGATATTTACCTAACATTTTATATATTTTTTTTATAAATTTGACCCTTTCCCTGCCCACAGAAGGGGATTCAAAATGACAACTTCTTCACAAAAAATTAACTTTTTCAACATAACTTTTGAAAATGTTCCGGAAAGACTGACACTTTTATATTTATATTAAATTAAAGCTTATGTAATATACTTTAGTTTAAAAAAAAAAATTTGACTTCTGGACTTGATTTTATATTATTTAATTTATATTTTATAAAACTTTTAGAAAAATGTATGGATCAATATTATTATTTTTTATAATAAATATTTATATACCCCTTTCATCTGGCACGCTTTTTTTGTAAATCGGATCATACCCCTTTAACAAGGGGGGTCAAAACTTTAAACATGCGTATTGTTACTATGATATTTTCAATTTAATTTTTGAAAGTATTCCGGAAATACTGACACTTATATATATTCTTATTCACTTATATATCTTAAATTAAAGCTTATATAATATACTTTAATTTGAAAAAAAAAAAAAATTGACCTCTGAATTTGTCTTCATGGTAAAAATGACTACCATATTCAAAAATGCTATTTTTGTGAAAAAATTCTTGATATTATATTTTACATTTTTTAACATTATGTTGCTATAACTTTTTAAAAAATGCATGAATCAACTTTATTCTTTAATGATAAATACTTTATATATACTTCTTTCATTCGACATACTTTTTTTTAAAATCGGACCATTTCCCTTTATACAGGGGGGGTGCAAACCTTTTAAAATGCGTATAGAAAGTAGAACTTTTTCAACTTAACTTTTGAAAATGTTCCGGAAAGACTGACACTTTTATATATATCTTAAATTAAAGCTTATGTAATATACTTTAATTTGAAAAAAAAAAATTTGACCTCTGGACTTGTCTTCGTGGTGAAAACGGACATCAAAGTTAAAGAAAAACGTACGATTTCCGTGAAAAAAATCTCGATTTTATATGTTATATTATTTAATTTATATTTTATATAACTTTTGGAAAAATGTATGGATCAATATTATTATTTTTTTATAATAAATATTGATATACCCCTTTCATCTGGCACGCTTTTTTTGTAAATCGGATCATACCCCTTTAACAAGGGGGGTCAAAACTTTAAACATGCGTATTGTTACTACGATATTTTCAATTTAATTTTTGAAAGTATTCCGGAAATACTGACACTTTTAAATATATCTTAAATTAAAGCTTATGTAATATACTTTAATGTGAAAAAAAAAAATTTGACCTCTGGATTTGTCTTCATGGTAAAAATGACTACCGTATTCAAAAATATGCTATTTTTGTGTTAAAATTCTGGGTTTTGTATTTTATTTTATTTTAAAATACCTGACAAGGGGAGTACACTGATTTTCATAAATATTATATAAATTAAATTGATATAGCATAAAAAGTTAAACTTATTTAATTTTTTTAAGTCGAGAAAAATAACTTTGAAGTTTGAACTAGCTTAAATTGCCATTTTTTTCATTCGACAAAAGCGACGTAAGGTTGCCGAATCTGTAAAACTTGTGTCTTAACCGCTTGGGGTACAAAGTTCCAACCTGTGTATGGCAAGGAATTTTTTGAATTTTTTTCTTAATTCATTTTAATTTAGAATACATTTTTATCTCATTTAGATTCAATAACTTCAATAAAGATCGAGGATCCCATCACTTTAGTCGCCCCTTGCAAGTAGAAATTTCTTATTCGTATTAAAATTATTTTACTATATTTTAAGTTTTAGCTTCTATACAAAGCTGAGAAGATATGTTTTTGTGACTATCATTTATTTTCTTTGCTTTAACTTGACCTACTTTTTCAACGATACGTCAAATGATTACCGTTCGTATCTAGTTGAAAATATTACCCTCAAACATTGAAAAAAAACTCTAATTTATCAATTAAGCAGTTAATTATCCCATGTTATCCATACNTGACCTACTTTTTTTTAATGATTTTAGAATCTTTTTAAACACCAAAAATTACTAGGAAATGATAACTATTCTTTCTATTTAAGTTATCTATTATGATAAAAATGTAAAAAAATATTAAGCTTTTCTGATA